TCGTCCCTTGTTATTTGTACCAGGAGAGCTTACTCGGCTGCAGATATGTAAGAAGGGTTGAAGACAGCGTTGAAAAATGTTGTAGAAAGCCAAGNCCGATGTACAAGTCAGTGCTTTTATCCTCCCAGACGAGTCTGGTACCAATTCACCGACCCCGGAGGGATGGAAGGCTTGGTTGGCCTAGGCGGGCATCGATCCGGGATTCGAACCCCTGACCTTGCGTGTGATATAGTGCGCCACTTGCCACTACACCGCCTCCGCTCTTAAGCGGAAATAGTTAATCTAAAAGTCACCAACTTTGCTGAACAGATTTGTTAAAGCATTATTGAGCCGTTCCAATCTGACGTCTATTTCAGTGGTTTTACAATCGAGTTTGGAGCTGCAGCAACGTCAATTCTAGCTAGTCGGCTTGGCCTTCCCATCAGTACTACCCACTGTTTGGTATGTACTCTATCTTTGATCAGCCCAGAGATACGATCCAGAAAACTTCGGGAGGAAACTTTTAATGGTTGATAATGAGAACCAGTCAATTACACAGGGAATGGGTAGAAGCTGAAACGGTATCAGAAAAAACTATAAAAGCTGAGAAATTCAATGATGAGCTGAGTACAGAACCACGATTGTACACATTGAGACAAAAAATGCATTGACGTCGAAGCAATGAAGCACTTTGGCGTAAGAAGCCGAACTAGGACCAACATCGTCCCTCCTTATTTGTACCAGGAGAGCTTACTCGGCCGCAGATATGTAAGAAGGGTTGAAGACAGCGTTGAAAAATGTTGAAGAAAGACAAGATTGTGCGCTTTCAAAAGCACCCTGAAAGCAGCGCGTGGCGTTTACCTGCGCAATGACATTGATTACTGAGAAAGTTAAGTTATGGGATACCAAGGGAACAAGAGGAATCGTTGTGAGATGAGCTATTTCTACAGTCTATACCATACAAGAGTTNTCTTTTTGGGCATGAACGGACAAGTCAGCAATCGGAATCGGCTATAGTGAATCCCACTGATGCCTTATCAGCAGCAATATTTTCGCGGGGAATTCTATCTTACTCTTCATTCATATCCATCGGTACCATCATTTGTAGTGTTTGCGCTCGACGACCAGTCGTGAGTTGTTAGGAACTCTGTTAGGAACTCTCATTGTTAGGAACGTTCAAGCGAACCCTCCGATTTCACATCAACATTATACTGTTAGGCTTGTTCTGAATCACCCTAGCAAATAAGGATCTCCATTCATTTTTAAGCAGCGCTAAAGCGCATCCAACGACCACAAAAGAAACCCCACTCTTCCCAGTAGGGCGCTGTTGAAGTAACTGATGTGCAGAAGTATAATTCTGTAATCCTCTGGCGAAGGGAATGGTCTGTATAACTTCGAAAAAGTGATGATCGCGATTTTTTATTTGCGTTCAAGACATTCACTCTTTAGACACCAGCGCAGTAGATACAAGCCTATGTGACTCTCCTTGAAAAACCCTCCCTTCTCGGGTTTAATCTCAATCAACACGCTATCAACAGATGGAATGGGACAAATCAGTGTTCCAGCTGCTTCCTGCAGGTTGAAGTCGAATCATTTTTCAGGTGGGATCAGTGATAGCAGTAGGAAGCCTGCGAGTTAACGAACCTGTCAAGTGGGCATTATTGAGGAACATTATAATATCCTGGGTAGTCACTATTCCAGTGTCAGGTAGGTTTCAGATGTAGGGCTTACTTGTTGTTAACTCCATACTCTGTCTAGAAATAAAAGGAGAAATACGGTACTGGTAGGGCAAGGCCCGGTAGTGCATAGTTGATGCCAAGAGGTACACTACAATACCACCTGCATGGTCCAGGGATCGGATCTCGGAATGGCACCTGAGCAGCACTGGGATTCAGGAATTAAACTGCAGAGCAGCACAAGTCAGTGTCTAAAAGGATCTTCGCCTTTCAGGCATAATATCCGCAGGAATTATGCTGATGCTTCGACTGGTTGCGTAATCTCCAAGACTATTTTTGTTAATGAACAACTATTCACTACATTCGAAGTGAACTTAAAAAAGTTGTTTTCCATTGTAGTTTTTTGTTAATAAAGTTTTGTTAATAAAGTTGTGTAGAGACGCTTTCCAGGGCATACTGTAAAGAAGTGTCTATGGTTGCTGTCATAGTCCGCGAGCGAGCGAGCGGGCGCGCGAGCCAGCCGGGGGACTACTCGCACGGCGGTATCGACCAAAATTCAGTTGTAAAGAAGGGGCAAGAGTCGCCCCACGCTCGCTCGCGAGCCAAATCGTAGACTATGAAAGCAGTCATGGTCCACTGCTATTTCTAGGCTATTTCAAGGATCCGATGTCTTCTATACGCCAATGTAGCACAACAAGGGAAAACGGCAAGGGAAAACGGCCTCTATATCTAAGAGACAGAAAGAGGGCCTCCATATTCAGGAGATAGAGGGCATGATGCCTGGTAAGTATTAAACAAGTAACGGGTGTGGTGCAGTGGTAGAACTTCGCATGGAGCACCTACAGCAGCCAAACATGCCCAAGTCTTTCGAAAATCAACCGGCAGCTGAGCACTTTTACACGACAAGGTTGCGAAGAACCTGCAGGGCAAACGTCACTTTTGATGGCACACTGTCGGTACAGAATACTGATGATAAGACACTTGTGTGAAGCTTGGGAAGGAGATAGGGTTGGAGAGATATGAACGTTCTCCTTTTACTACATGTGACCATTCCCCGACAAGGAAAACGATTGGATCAGATCACCAACATGCCAAAGATTGCAGAAGCCCCATTCCCTATGTGCAAGTGGCGCTTTAGTGTTTTTCAACCTCATTCCACTTCGGCTGCAAAGCTACCACTGGCTTCAGCAACTGTATGTTAGTACATATATTTGCATCTGGGAACACCCGGTTACCAATTCACTGCAAGCCAGAAAGCAAGGGAAAACGGCCTCTATATTTAAGAGACAGGAAGCGGACCTCCATACTTAAGAGATAGAGGGCCCGATGCCCGGTAAGTACAAGTACGGATACAAGCCCCACCGGGGGCCAAATTTGCCCATTACTCGCCATCCCCATGGGTAGAGAAATAAGAACCGTATGTAGCGAAATAGTTAACAAAAAATCAAACTATGTACGAGTAACCAAGGGGTAACGCCTCCGCTAAGTAAAACCCAGAAACACGGTGGAATTTCTTACTCTACAGCAGAAATTGGCCTTCAGGACAGTGAAATTGTGGAAAAGTGCACCATTTATTTCACCTATAGGGGGAAAAGAATAAACGTTTTGGGATTGACCCTTCCAAACGAGTTTTAAATTCACTTGAACATCGTTTTTATTAATTCATAGAATTTGATTAACAACAACAATAAAGGATTCACAAGGATGTGAAACTGAAATGGTTCTGTGTAAAGAACACCCTTTAAATGTTCACATAGAATTGAAAATAATAAAAAAAATTATGGAAGGCACGGAAATACATAACAATCAGTGATTAACATAGGATTGCGAACCTGAATTTAGTAAACAACACTTGTCGTTATTCTGTCGTTAAAAGGAAATGTTATGATACACAAAATGTACAAATCACAATCGTACGCACAACACCGGAACATACAGAAAGTGGGTACACTTTCTGTACGATTATTGATTACTGCCAACATAATGAACTTCAAACTTATTGCATAATTATTGTTAAATGAAAATTTTTTTGAGCTCTTAGTTCTTATGAGAATGCGACTAAATACAAGCTTAACCTACAAACCTTTAAAGCACAAACTATCATCTATAAAATTAAACATCGAGCAATTCAAGGCGCTGATATGATGATTGCTAAATCTATGAGTAGAATGTCAAAACAGAGGTTTGATTTCCACGAACCAGTAGGGTGGGTGGAAGACGTCGGGTCATCATGTCCAGCCAGGACAGATACAGCGCCGCACTTACCATACCTTTACGGGGTACGGGTAAGGTACTGAAACAGAAGCGCATTCAAAATGATTCCCTTCCACAAATACAAACAAACAACAAGCAAAATCTTAAAACCCACATGACAACAAGGTCTGCATCCATAGAATGGTCATGAAGAAGTTCAGCGGTGCGTAACTGTCGACATGTTTTCTGCTTGAGCGCCTCCAACTCGGTTTTAGTGGTCATACCAGTGGGACAGTCTCGTTCATCATCGTGGATAAATGGCGCAATCATACTCTCCCAGACCATCATACTGTAATGGAAATAGTTCACAATAATTCTGAGGGATCTATAATTAAAGGCAGAGTTCACGATGAAAGTAGACTATGAGATAATCCGCTTGAATAAATCTGCGGCCCCTGGTAACACCACATGTGGCGCTGACAGGTCAGAAAACGGTCAAAAAAGGGCGTTATAAAGGGCCAAATATTGTCCTGTGGGTATGCGCGTGGACGAGTTTCAACGACGTTGTAGAGGCTGCACTGTTCACAAGAAAACCCATATAGGAAGTTCGAACAATTTGTCATGACCCACACTGACAGTGATAGGCGATTCTAGACAGTTTTGACTCGATGTAGTTAGCTCTTTGCGCGATTGCAACACTGCAATCTCGTCCAAGTGCATCTTTCATTTGTCATTTCCGTCGCGATGATCTCGTACAACCTCTATTTCACTACTTTTGAGGAGTCCCATTTTTCGCAAAATCAGCGAACTCTCCCGTTTTCTTAGCCACCGATGCACTATTCCCAACCAGCACTTGGGCTTTTCAACTCAAAAGGGTACTTCAAAATTATCATGAACTGCTTTGAACCACGACGATGAAGATGAATTAATTGGCTGATTATAAAATATTTGTAATGAAACTTACGTCTCCGGTCGAGGCTTTCGGCCAATGTCGGAAATGACGGATACATCACTGAAACTAATCCGGAACTTCGATAATAGGGCTGCCATACTTCGCTGTTCTTGTTCCATTGTTCGTGAGCTTGTCGAGATTGTGAATACCCGCAGTTTCGCACCCTGGAACAGAGCAATTCTCCTACATCGAACAGTTGAAAGAAAAACATCCCAGACGCTACCTCCAAGTAACTTTTCGGAATAGTTAAGAGATGAGGAATCAAAAGCGTTAGTCCACCATCATCATAAAGCCACCACACATCAATGGCTCCCTGAAGAAAAACGATAAATTCATAATTCCGCAAATTATTACTATAGAAATGATTGTAGAAAATAATGGCGATTTTTCGTTCAGGAAGAAATACCTTCTTGATTTTCCTTTGGAAACGGGAAATTGAAGCGATTAAAGCCTTTTGCTCCGTGGTTGGACGACGAGTGCTAAAAATAATTCGGTCGTTGGACCTAAAATATTTTTAGGACTCAGCAAAAAATATTTACAGAAAAATTCTGGAATTGGGACAATTTAGGAGACAAAAGCCATGCCACGGGACGAGTTCACGATCACAATTTGCACGCAACACGCACGCACGCTTAAAACGTAGCAGAAACGTACGCCGCAGAATCCTGGGAAACTTTCTTGAGTTTGCTGAGGAACCTTAGAAAACACAAGTCGTTCTTCAGCTCATTTTACTAACCAGATTCTTCTTGAAAAACTGCGCAAAGTGTTATTTATTCAGAAAAAAAAACGGTTAGACCAATCAAAGCCTTCGAGTGGTAGCAAAACAACCGCTCATATGCTCGTTCCGAATCAGTGAAAATCTCTGATCCAAGTAAAAGGCTGACCTTCGTCTTCTGAGAGAGAACGTGTGAGAAATCTTCTTGGAGTCATCGTTATGTTGAGGTGTGCCCAGTTCAGGATCATCTTCGACTTCCTTCGTGTCCTGCTTTTCGCCCTCTTCTGCGTCTTCTGCTCCGGACTCAACATTCTCGTCCTAAAGCAAAACGCTACGAAGCTCATAAGGTCCGTAATCTTCAGCATCACTGGAACATATGTGCGGACAGCTACGCATGGTAAAAATGAATTTTTCATGGAAGCGTCAGAAAAGCGCTACTTCAAATGCCACTAATTACTGGTAAATAATGGAAAGAAGGGTTTATTAAAAGAGAATATCACCCCATTCCGGCGGAGAAATCAAAGATCCTCAAAAGATAGTTGCCCCTGATAAGGATAACCTGCATACGGGGAACGTCTGTTCCGCGCGTCCGTCGGAATTAGGTCACCCCGCCATTTCGCGTGCGCGCAGCCCACGGCAATCTCGAGATGACGTTACTGTACCACTCAGTGTCAGTAGAGCAAGTGATTTGCTTTGATCCAAGTTATCATCTCTCAAGGCTGACTGCCGTGAATTAAGGGCCAATCGTATGCCCCATTAACAACTGCGACTCTGTAAAAATCGCGGGCTGGCGCGCCGCGTGCGACGGCGCGACGTGACCTAGTTTTGCCGGACGCGCCGAACGAAGCACATCCCCTACATACAGAGCACCTCCTGACCCACACCCCATTGAGAGTGATTTCTACCTTCAAACTAACAAATGCTCACCTCCATATCGTCAAATCCATAATTTTCCGTCAGTGTGTTGGAAGCTGCAAAGAAATAATGTAGAGATAGAAATCAAGGCAGAAGCAAGCATTATCACACCACTGCAACAACTATAGTACTGTACAACACTCCAATTTACCAGCAATATAATGATGATTAAGATTTGCAAAACGCTCCATGCTATATGCACTGTCCTTGTGACGAAGAGCTGAATATGACTATGATGAAGCGACCAAGCTTGGTGACAAATATCGTCGATGAAAGCGCTTTCCAATCTAGTGCAGGGGAAAGGAACATCGTTCTACCAATGTCATCAGAGGTCTCCCAACAGGGGAGTTGTTCCCGGTTCTCCCACGCCCGAAAGGGGTCATGAAAAAGAAATCTATTTTTTTTGCCAATATTACATAGAAAGGAACCTCTCGCAAACAAAAACAGACCATTGGCTGGCACTAGGGAAATCTAAATTAAGACGATCAAACACTCAACCACTTCCATTCCCAATAAAAGCCGACTATGTAGCGCATTCTAGGACAAATGTCGAATGCCTTTAGTTCTTCTCAACATTTCTGTAGAACCCCTCACATGAATATGGCCTTATTATGTTATCCGTCGAATGAAAGGAGTACCGGCGAGTCTGGGAGCATTCGCCTAGTTCCTTCACAACGACAACTCCTCTAAAGGGGAAGCTCATACAAATGATGTAAAACTATGAATGATCATCTTAGAATCATGTCTTTACAACGCCCTGCCCAAATAATCACAGGAATTGCCGGAAATTGGAGCCCAATGGATGAAACTCACACTCCGTTTCAGCTTTATCCTCATCGTTAGCTGTTGTCGAATTCTCATTGACTACCTTCGTATCAGAATCGTTCACAGAGGGACGAGAAGGTGATTCCGGTCTGTCAAATAAATACAGTAATACTAATCAGATTTCTACAAAAGTATTATACTCAATAGACTGACTCCTGTCGCAGTGTTTTCATAACATCATGAGATAAGAAGTTAAAATTTTGTCCGGATTATGAGAGCTATCGATTTAAGTAATCGTTTTGGTCAGTTCAGTTCAAAGTTTTGTATTCAAGATGGAACTACCAATTCTTATTGACACGGGCCCTATTGCGGCAAGGAACTCAGAAAATAAAAACGAGTTTCTGTTGCAGGATACCTATAGAGGTCTTTACTTCAAGCTTTACAACGATCTTAGTTGTTTGCAAAGAGTATATTACTGCGAAGAGACTCAGACGTTAGAGATACACAGTTTCTTACATAAAAAATCAGATAGCATCCAAATCTGCAATAAAAAGAAACTAAGAAAGATAATATTTTGGCGCAAAAATTGCTGTCGAGCTCTTACCATTTTAATAGAACCCCTTCCGAAAATAAATTTTTATATCGTTGAATCGGGCGGAGGTGGTGTAGTGGCAAGTGGCACGACCAGGGGTTCAAATCCCGAATCGGTGC